AGGAAAGAATGTCCAATGGAAAAAAGACAGCCTCTTCAATAAATGGTGTTGGGAAAATTGGACAGCCACATGCAGAAAAATGAAATTGGATCATTTCCTTACACCACACACGAAAATAGACTCAAAATGGATGAAGGACCTCAATGTGAGAAAGGAATCCATCAATATCCTTGAGGAGAACACAGGCAGCAACCTCTTTGACCTCAGCCGCAGCAACATCTTCCTAGGGACATCGCCAAAGGCAAGGGAAGCAAGGGCAAAAATGAACTATTGGGATTTTATCAAGATCAAAAGCTTTTGCACAGCAAAGGAAACAGTTCACAAAACCAAAAGACAACTGACAGAATGGGAGAAGATATTTGCAAACGACATATCAGATAAAGGGCTAGTGTCCAAAATCTATAAAGAACTTAGCAAACTCAACACCCAAAGAACAAATAATCCAATCAAGAAATGGGCAGAAGACATGAACAGACATTTCTGCAAAGAAGACATCCAGATGGCCAACAGACACATGAAAAAGTGCTCCATATCACTCGGCGTCAGGGAAATACAAATCAAAACCACAATGAGATACCACCTCACACCAGTCAGAATGGCTAAAATTAACAAGTCCGGAAATGACAGATGCTGGCGAGGATGCGGAGAAAGGGGAACCCTCCTACACTGTTGGTGGGAATGTAAGCTGGTGCAACCACTCTGGAAAACAGCATGGAGGTTCCTTAAAATGTTGAAAATAGAACTACCCTATGACCCAGCAATTGCACTGCTGGGTATTTACCCTAAAGATACAAACGTAGTGATCCGAAGGGGCACGTGCACCCGAATGTTTATAGCAGCAATGTCTACAATAGCCAAACTATAGAAAGAACCTAGATGTCCATCAACAGAGGAATGGATAAAGAAGATGTGGTATATATATACAATGGAATACTATGCAGCCATCAAAAGAAATGAAATCTTGCCATTTGCGACAACGTGGATGGAACTAGAGGGTATCATGCTTAGCGAAATAAGTCAATCAGAGAAAGACAACTATCATATATGATCTCCCTGATATGAGGGAGAGGAGATGCAACATGGGGGGTTAATGTGGTAGGAGAAGAGTAAATGAAACAAGTTGGGATTGGGAGGGAGACAAACCATAAGTGACTCTTAATCTCACAAAACAAACTGAGGGTTGCTGGGCAGAGGGGGGTTGGGAGGGGGGGGTTATGGACATTGGGTAGGGTATGTGCTATGGTGAGTGCTGTGAAGTTTGTAAATGTGGAGATTCACAGACCTGTACCCCTGGGGGGGGAAAAATATATATATATATATGTATATATATATTTATAAAAAATAAAATTATAAAAAAAAAGAAGATTGGTCTGAAAAATGGAATTTAAAAGCAGTCTAAATGATGAAGTCAGTGCAACCCTGGAGACTGGCTGGCCATGAAGTGTTCATTCAATTCCAGACTCTTGTTCACCCTGGGAAGCTTTACAAAATATAAGATGCATTTAAAAAACCCATGCATTCATTTACATCTTCTGTGATCATTTAAAGAACCCCTCCCCCCAATATAGAATTTGTTACATCCAGTTTAGCACAGTTCCTTAATATCCACACAAGGAATACCTCCATGAAAGAGAAAAAGAACCTCCAAAGAAAACTGGAAAGAAGTAATTAGGGAGGGAGAGAAAATGGAGTTTCATGAATGCCAAGGATTCACTGCAGAAAGCACAAACCACCTTAAATATTTCAAACCGAAAATGATTTAATGCAGAGGATTATGTATACAAAGTGATTGGAAGGTCTGGGTGCGGGAGCTGGGGCCAGATGGATGAATGAGTTCAAGGACACACATTGTGAGTGAGATCCTGAGGTCAGGAAGTTGTGCTACTGCCTCTGAGACTTTATTTTATTTACTTATTTTTATTTTTTAAAGATTTTATTTATTCATTAGAGAGAGAGAGAGGATGAACAGGGGGAGAGGCAGAGGTGAAGCAGACTCCCTACTGAGCCAGGAGCCTGACACAGGCCAGCCCCAGGACCCTGAGATCATGATCCCAGCCATGACCATAGCTGAAGTCAGATGCCTTAACCCACTCAGGTTAAGGTGTCTGACTGAGCCAGACACCCTCCTCCTGAGCCTTTATTGCATAGGCACAACTGCTTCTCAACCTCCACAAAGATGTTAGCTAAGTAATGCCTTTTTCTCTGCTTCTGACCCTGCTTACCAGTGGAATTAGTAGTGGGAAAATGGCCTCCCCTCTATTCTAAATTTCATGGAAACGATATCTCTTTGGGCCAGCTCAATGTACACATAGCATGGCTCTCAAAGTGTAGTTTCCCACACCAGCAACATGAACATCACCTGGGATCTTGGTAGAAATACAAATTCTCAGACCCCATGCCAAACTAGGAACTCTGGACGTAGGCCTATCAATCTGTTTTTTAATGAGCCTTCAGGTGATTCTGATGCATTGCTGAAGTTTGAGAATCATTGGCCTAGAGAATCCTGGCCCCTATAAGGGCACTGGAAACAAAGTTTTATTTCTAGTTCTGCAGAATAAGAAGACATCATAGGGGTGGGAATGAATACCAAGTGCCAGTGACCATATCCAGAAAAGGGCATGGCTGATGGTGTCAAATGCTTCAGTGACATGTGGAATATGGTGACAACTGGAAAGAAATTAATGAATCTGTTAAGGGACCACTGGTGACTTGAGAGAAGAATTTCCAAGGTGGAGAATGAGGGATGAAAATGGAATGATACAAAAATGGAATTATAGTAAATGAAGAGTGAGCACAGGTGATTCTTACTGTGTGTGTGGCTGGGCAATGAAGAAGAGAAGTGGGCTTTAGCTTGAGCCCAAATCTTTCCCTTCATCTTCATGACCTTGTCTGTGCCCTCTACCACCTCTTCTCCATTTCAGATATCTCAGTCACTTCTGCAGCTAATTAGGGAAGTTTGTGGAGTGCCTTTTATATGACATAATTTCAAGTTCCCAGGGAGCATGGACTTCAGTTTAGTGTGTACCTGCAATTTAGTTGTATGTTTTCAATTTAGTCTATTATATTTTTGTGTGTGACAGACACTATGTAGGTCCTTGATATATGTTATTTTTATTCCTTACCAGCACAATGTGAGGTGGGTAAGAAAATTTAACTGACTTGCCTATGGCCACAGGTTGTCTTGTTTCTCCAGATTTTGAGATCTTTCTGTTCTTCCATACTTTTGTATAAACCTTATGGCCTCACTGAGGTATGTATTTTTAGTGGTGATATAATAAAAAAAAATATAAAGGTATGTTTTGAGAACATATGACATTCATTTTATTGTTTTAATTTCACAGAATCTTTTAGAATTAGAGCACATTTTATACACACACTGAACTGAAAACTTAGTTTCCCATGGCCTGTGCTATTAGGAACTATACCATTTGTCATTAATGTAAAATTTTTCCATAATTAAATATTCCTTACCCTTTTCTGGTTATAAAGCTAATGATTTTTTATAATGTCAAATCAAGTTTTCCCCCTTTCCCCCTCTTTTATAAGTTTACCAGGATCATACACAGCCTACTTAGAAATTTGAATAAATTAGGTTAAATTAAATGTTAATTGACCCCTGAATGTTAGCAGTACCTCGATTTTCTTTATCTACTGAACTTTCTTCACTCAATCAGATAGAAGAGCAGAGACTTTTTTTTTAAGTTTTTATTTATTTATTTGACAGAGAGATAGAAAGAGCCAGAGAGCATAAACAAAAGGAATGGCTGAGGGAGAAGCAGGCTCCCCACAGAGCAGGGAGCCTGGTGCAGGGCTTGATCTGAGGACCCTGGGATCATGACCTGAGCCAAACTCAGCCACTTAACTGACTGAGCCACCCAGATGTCCCTGGTCTTTTTCAGTTAGCAGCTTGTGGCTCTGTACTCTTGCTTCGCCTCTCACAGGTCATCACTCTTCATAACTTTAGGATCTTTTCTTTCCTTTGTTTGCTTTTAAAATATAGTCAATTTAAGCTTCATTCTTTCTCTTCACTCTCCTATCCAACCATTTCTCTGATCACGAAAGACAAGGCCAGGAAACAAGTGGAATCTCTTTAGGAGAAAGGCCTCTGAATCCATTCCTCATCACAACCAGCATAAAGCAAACATTTATGACCAAAGCATTAAGTATTTCTTTTCTGTTAGGAATTATAGAATTATTATTGGTATAATTTACTCTTATAACAAGATTTGAACAACTTTAATGTTGATGAGAATGAAATAACTTATTCCAAACCGTACGTGTCATTTTGATATGATTTTTTTAATTACACTGCTTTGGTTTTTATTTATTTATTTTTGATAAGTTTATGTATTTAAGTAAATCAACATGGGGCTCAAACTCATGACCCTGAGATCAAGAGTTGCACCCAACTGAGCCAACCAGGCACCTCCTGAAATAATTTTTAAAATATATGTAACATTGGAATATGCTGTTAGGAAATTCGAGATTCTTCATTTTATTGTATAATAATGTATAATAAGGACACCTGGGCGGCTTAGTCAACTGAGTGGCTGACTCTTGATTTTGGCTCATGTCATGATCTCTCAGAGACCAGGGATCGAGTACTGAGTCCGGCCCTGCGCTCAGGATTATCTCTCTCCTTCTCCCTTTGCCCCAAGCCCCACTTGCTCACTCTATCTCTGTAAAATAAATGAGTAAGTCTTTTTAAAAAATGATGTATAGGGGCGCCTAGGTGGCTCAGTGGTTAAGGCCTCTGCCTTTGGCTCGGGTCATGGTCTCGGGGTCCTGGGATCAAGCCCCACATTGGGCTCTCTGCTCGGAGGGCAGCCTGCTTCCTCCTCTCTCTCTCTCTCTGCCTGCCTCTCTGCCTGCTTGTGATCGCTGTCTGTCAAATAAATTTTAAAAAATCTTAAAAAAAAGATGTATAAATTAAATACACATAATGATTTAAAGTCATGAATTTTCTAAAACCAAAATTATGATTTCCCCTTTCTCATTAGCTAAGAAATCTTCAAAACAAGCTCCTCATAAAAGAAACATCATTGCAAGAGATGAAGAACGTGCTAGAAAGTTATAAAGAAAATAATGTGCAACAGTCTTTCCAGATAATGTCCCTGAAAGATGATATCAAGGATCTAGAGGAACTTATTGCTTCTCTAACCAGAATTAAATCTTTGAAAAACACCAATATTCAGAATCTTGAAAGAAGCAACTGGGATCTAACTGAAAGAATTATAGAACTAGAAAACCATCTAAGGTAGGAAATTTTCTAGTTGTTTTTTTTTTCAAGCATGTCATTTGTCATAAGCTTGAAAAGAGTATATAAACTCTATATTCCTGATTGATCATGGAATTTTTAAACTTAGTAACATTTCCTATAATACCTGACTCAAAATTACTATGTGTAAAAAGACACATATATTATTGAAATATAATTCACATATTAAAATTCACTCTTTTAGTCAGTTGTACTTCATTTAAAAAGAAAAGAAAAAATTCACCTCTTTATAGTACACAATTTGGTAGTTTTTAGTATATTCAAAAGGTTGTGCAGTCATTACCACTATTCAATTCCAGAACATTTCATCACCCTCTAAAGAAACCCCACATCTATTAGCAATTACCCTGTATCACTCTCTCTAGTCTCTGACAACCACTCATCTACATCCTTTCTCTCTGAGTTGCCTTTTCTGGACATTTCACATGAATGCCATCATACAGTATTATGGCCTCTGTGTCTCCCTTATTTCACGTAGTGCAATATTTTTAAGATTAACCTATGTTGAACCATAAATCTGTGTACTCCACTCCTTTTTATGGCTGAAAATAATATTCTGTTGTATGAATATACCACAATTTCCTTATGCATTCATCAGTTAATGGACATTGGGTTGTTTCCCCTTTTTGGAGGGGCTTTATGAATAATGCTGCTGTGATGATTCTTGTGTGAGTTTTTATGTGACTGTGTACTTCATTTCTCTTAAGGATATGCCTTGGAAGTAGAAGGCTGGGTCATAAAGTAACTCTAATTTACTTTTGAGGAATTTCCAGACTATTTTCCAAGGTAGCTGCACCATTTTACATTCCCACTAGTAATGTACGAGCATTCCAATTGCTCCACATCCTCACCAACACTTGTTACCATTCATCTTTATGATAGCTATTCTAGTGGATATGAATTTGCATCTCATTGTGACTTTAATTTCTATTTCCAAAAGATTAAAGAGTTGAGCGTTTTTTCATGTGCTTATTGGCCATTTGTGTATCTTCTTTGTAGAAATAGAAATATCTACTCAAATCCTTTGCCCAGTTTTATTTTATTTTATTTTTTTTTTATTTTTATTTTTTTTTATTTTTTTTATTTTTTTTAAAGATTTTATTTATTTATTTGCCAGAGAGAGAGAGGGAGAGCGAGCACAGGCAGACAGAATGGCAGGCAGAGGCAGAGGGAGAAGCAGGCTCCCCGCCGAGCAAGGAGCCCGATGTGGGACTCGATCCCAGGACGCTGGGATCATGACCTGAGCCGAAGGCAGCTGCTCAACCAACTGAGCCACCCAGGCGTCCCAGTTTTATTTTATTTTTTAATTTTAAATTTATTTTTAAATTTTTTAAAAAGATTTTATTTATTTTTTTGACAGAGAGTGAGAAAGCACAAGCAGGGAGAGTAGCAGAGAGAGAGGAAGAAGCAGGCTCTGCTGAGCAGGGAGGCCAATGCGGGACTCAATCCCAGGGCCCTGGGATCATGACCTAATGAAGTCAGATGCTTAACCATCTGAGCCACCCAGGCGCCCCTGTTTAATTTTTAAATTTTGAATTCAATTAATTAACTTAATATATGAATTAATAAATATAACATATTACTAGTTAATAAATTAATTACTAGTTTAAGTTTATTAATTATTGATTAATGACTAGTTTTATTAATAAATTATTACTAGTTAATTAATACATATATCACTAGTAAATATAGTATATTACTAGTTTACTAGGTAGAGGTCAGTGATTCATTAATCTTATATAATACCCAGTGCTCATTACATCATGTGTCCTCCTTAATGTCTATCACCCAGTTACCCCACCCCTGACCCCCCTTCCCTCCAGCAATCCTCAGTTTGTTTGCTGAGATTAAGAGTCTCTTATGGTTTGTCTCCCTCTCTGATTTCATCTTGTTTTATTTTTTCCTCTCTTCCCCTATGATCTTTTGTTTTGTTTCTTAAATTCCACGTATGAGTGAGATCATATGATGATTATCTTTCTCTGATTGACTTATTTTGCTTCACCTAATGCCCTCTAGTTCTATCCACGTCATTAAAAATGGCAAGATTTCATTTTTGATGGCTGAGTAGTACTCCATTGTATATACACCACATCTTCTTTATCCATTCATCTGTCAGTGGACACCTGGGGTCTTTTCATAGTTTGGCTATTGTGGACATTGCTGCTATAAACATTGGGGTGCAGGTGTCCCTTTGGATCACTACATTTGTATCTTTGGGGTAAATACCCAGTAGTGCAATTGCTAGGTCATAGGGTAGCTCTATTTTTACCTTTTTGAGGAACCTCCATATTGTTTTTCAGAGTGACTGTATCAGCTTGCATTCCCACCAGCCATGTAAGAGGATTTCCCTTTCTCTGCATCCTTGCCAACATTCATTGTTTCCTGAGTTGTTATTTTAGCCATTCTGACTGGTGTGAGGTGGTATCTCACTGTGGTTTATGATTTGTATTTCCCTGATGCCAAGGGATGTTGAACATTTTTTCATGTGTTTGTTGGTCATTTGGATGTCTTCTTTGCAGAAATGTCTGTTCATGTCTTCTGCCCATTTCCTGATTGGATTATTTGTTCTTTGGGTGTTGAGTTTGATAAGTTCTTTCTAGATTTTAGAAACTAGCCCTTTATCTGATATATCATCTGCAAATATCATTTCCCAATCCATCTGTTGTCTTTTGGTTTTGTTGACTTTTTCCTTTGCTGTGCAAAAGATTTTGATTTTGATGCAGTCCCAGTAGTTCATTTTTGCCTTTGTTTCCCTTGCCTTTGGAGAAGTGTCTAGCAAGAAGTTGCAGTAGCCAAGGTCAGTGAGGTTGCTGCCTGTGTTATCCTCTAGGATTTTGATGGATTCCTGTCTCACATTGAGGTCTTTTATCCATTTTGAGTCTATTTTCGTGTGTGGTGTAAGGAAATGGTCTACTTTCATTCTTCTGCATGTGGCTGTCCAATTTTCCCAACACCATTTGTTGAAGAGACTTTTTTTCCCTTGGATATTCTTTCCTGCTTTGTCGAAGTTTAGTTGACCATAGAGTTGAGGGGCCATTTCTGGGTATTTTATTCTGTTCCATTAATCTATGTGTCTGTTTTTGTGCCAGTACTGTACTGTCTTGATGATTACAACTTTGTAATAGAGCTTGAAGTCTGAAATTGTGATGCCACCAGCTTTGGTTTGTTTTTTTCCCCCCCAACATTCCTTTAGCTATTTGGGGTCTTTTCTGGTTCCATGCATATTTTAGGATTATTTGTTACAACTCTGTGAAAAAAGTTGATGGTATTTTGGTAGGGATTGTATTGAATGTATAGATTGCTTTAGGTAGCTTAGAGATTTTAACAATATTTGCTCTTCCAATCCATGAGCATGGAACATTTCACACTATTGTGGTCAGAAAAGATGCATAATATGATTTCAGGCTTCTTAAATTTATTGAGACTTGTTTCAAAGCATGATGTGTGATCTGTCCTGTAGAATGTTCCATGGACACTTGAAAAGAATGTGTATTCTATTGTTTTGGATGGAATGTTTTTTATATATCTGTTAAGTCCATCTGATCTAATATATCATCCAATGACACTGTTTCCCTATTGATTTTTCTGCATGGATGATCTATCCACTGATATAACTGGTGTGTTAAAGTCCCCTACTATTGTAGTATTACTGTCAGTTTCTCCCTTTATGTCTGTTAACATTTGCTTTATGTATTTAAATGTTCCAATTTTGGGTGACTAGATATTTACAGTTGTTATATACTTCTGTTGAATTGACTCCTTTATCATTATGTAATGCTCTTCTTTGTCTCTTGTTACAGTCTTTGTTTTTTTTTTTTTTTTTAAGATTTTATTTATTTATTTGACAGATAGAGATCACAGGTAGGCAGAGAGGCAGGCAGAGAGAGAGAGGAGGAAGCAGGCTCCCTGCTGAGCAGAGAGCCCGATGCGGGGCTCGATCCCAGGACCCTGGGACCATGACCCGAGCCAAAGGCAGAGGCCTTAACCCACTGAGCCACTCAGGCGCCCTCAGTCTTTGTTTTAAAGTCTGTTTTGTCTGTTATAAATATTGCTATTCTGGCTTTGCTTTTTTTTTTTTTTTTTTTTAAATTTCTATCTGCATGGTGTATCTTTCTCCATCCTTTCACTTCCAGGCTATTTGAGTCTTTAGCTCTGGCCTGAGTCTCTTATAGCCGTATATAGATGGCGTGTGTGTGTGTGTGTGTGTGTTTTAAATCTGTTCTGCCACACTTGTCTTTTGTTTAGAGCATTTTAGAACATTTACATGTTCTAAAGTAATTATTGATAGGTATCTACTTATTTTCATTTTGTTGTTTTCTGCTTATTTTTGTAGTTATTCTATCTTCTCACATTATCTTTCCTTGTGACTGATGACTTTCTGTAGTGTTATGCCTGAATACTTTCTATTTTTTGTGTATCTATCATGGGTTTGGGGTTTGGGGATACTTTAAGGTTTATATGTAGGACCTAAATAAATAGCAGCTGATACTAAGTTGATTTAAGTTTGAACATATTCTAAAAGAACTTTTTTTTTAAACTCTCTCCTCCATGTCTTATGTATATGCTGTGATATATTTTATATCATGTTTTTCTTACTTCTAATTATGGCCTTTTCTTTTTCACTGAAACAAGTCCCTTTAACATTTCTTTTTTTTTTAATATTTTATTTATATATCTGACAGAGAAAGCTCACAAGTAGGCAGAGAGGCAGGCAGCAGGGTGGGGGGGTGGGGCAGAAACAGGCTCCCCACTGAACAGAGAGCCCAATGTGGGGCTTGATCCCATGACCCAAGCCAAAGGTAGAGGCTTTTACCCACTAAGCCACCCAGGTGCCCCTCCCTTTAACATTTCTTGTAACACTGCTTTGGTGGTGATGAACTCCATTAATTATCATTTGTCTGGGAAACTCTTTACCTCTCCTTCAATTCTGAATGATAAACTTGCTAGGTAGAATACTTTGGGTTGTAGGTGTTTTCTTTTCAGCTCTTTGCCACATTTTTCCAGCTTGCAGAGTTTCTGCTGAAAAATCAGCTGAGAGCCTCATGGGATTTCTCTTGCATGTAACTAATTGCTTCTCTCATGCTGCTTTTAAAATTCTCTCTTTATCACTAATCTTTGACATTTAATTATTATGTGTTGGTGATTTGGGCCTCCTTGATTTCATCTTGTTTGGAGCTCTCCATGCTTCCTGAACTTAGATGTCTGTTCCTTCCCCAGGTTAGGGAATTCTTATTATTCCTTTTTTTTTTTTTTAAGATTTTATTTATTTATTTGAAAGAGAGAGTGTGTGTGAGCAAGCATAAGCAGGGGGAGCTGCAGAGGGAGAGGGAGAAGCAGGCTCCCCACTGAGCAGGGAGTCCAATGCAGGGCTCGATCCCAGGACCCTAGGATCCTGACCTAACCAAAAGGCTGATGCTCAACCAACTGAGCCACCCAGGCACCCCTCAGATGTTATTGCTTCAAATAACTTTTCTTTCCCTTTCTCACTTCTCTTCCTGGAACCCCTATAATACATATTGTTTGCTTGATGTTGTCCAAGAGATCCCTTACCTATCCTCTTTTTAAAAAAATTTCTTTTTTCTTTTTGCTATTCAGCTAGGGTTCTTTCCATTACCTTGTCTTCCAGATTACTGATACATTCTTCTGCATTCTTTAATCTACTGACGATTCACTCTCGTGTAGTTTTCATTTGTTATTGTACTCTTCAATTCTGATTGGTTCTCTTCTATATTTTCTCTTTGTTGAAGTTCTCACTGAGTCTACTCTTCTTTTCAACATGGTGAGCATCTTTTTTTTTTTTTTATGGTGAGCATCTTTATGATCATTACTTTAAACTCTCTATCCAGGCATAGTGTTTATCTCCATTTCATTTAGTTCTTTTTCTGGTGTTTTATCTTGCTCACTCATTCAGGGGATACTCCTCTGTCTTCCCATTTTGCTGGACTGTCTGTTTCTATGAATTATGGAGGACAACTACTTCTCCTAAACTTGAAGGAATGGTCTTGTGTAATGTCGTCATCTGTGTATACTGTGTGTGCCTGGTGACTTTGTCTAGCTGGCTGGAGCTGTGTCTGGCATGGGCTGAGGTTCCCAGTGCCCTCTGTGCTAAGGCTACCCTGGTGGGATGGCTGGAGCTGAGGTGAGTATGGACCTGGGTGGTCCCAGGATTCTGTGCACACAGTGTACCAGCAGAATGACTGAAGCTGAATAGAGTACAAACCAGTGGGTCCTGGGGCTCTTCATGCAGATTGCCCTGGCAGGACAGCTAAAGCTTAAGTGGGCACAGGCTGGTAGGATCCCTGGTTCTCTGTGCAGAAGGCCCCCTGGCAGGATAGCTGAAACTGAAGTGGGTACAAACAGGACATCTTAGGTAACCCTGTGTAGAGGGTGCCCTGGCAGAACAGCTAGAGCCAAGGTGGGGCCTAGACCAGGGGATTCTGGGGTGCTGCACGGGGCTACCCTGGGAGGTCAGCTGAAGCAGAAGTGGTTGAAAGCTGGGATGTCCTGGTGTATTCAGTGCAGAGGGTGCCCTGTTGGGGTGATTAGAATGGAGGCTGGCATGGGCCAGGGTTGTCCGAGGATGCTCTGTACAGGAGGCCCCATGGTGGTGTGGCTGGAGCGGAGGTGGGGTGAGGGCTTAGGAGTCCCAGAGTGCCCCATGCAGGAGGTGTCCTGGCAGGGCAGCTGGAGGTGAGGTGAGCATGGGTTGGGTGTTCCCAGGTTGTTCCTTGTAGGAGGTACCATGGCAAGACAGCTAGAGCTGAAGCAGGCATTAGCTAGGAGGTCCCAGAGTGCTCTGTGTTGGGAGTATCCTAGTAAGCTCTCTGGGGCTGAAGTGGTGTGGGCCAGGAATTTTCTAGGTGCTTTATGCACCTTTATGTATCACCTTCATATGATGGCTAGAGCTCTAGCAATTGCTGGACGAGAGGTGTCCCAGTGTTTGCCATGCTGGGACTACCTTTGTGTGAAAGCTGTGTTTGGTGTGGGCCAGGGGTCTGGGGCTCACTGAGGTGGTAGGCTGGCTATGGTGCCTGGAGCTTGTTCACTAGTGTGGTCTTCATCCATATTATCAAGGTGGTTGGAGAATGTAAATATGGTGCTCACCAGCCCCTTCAACGTGGAGAGAGTTCTAGCAGCTCCCCCTGCTGTTTTTCAGAGTTCTAGGACTGGCTCTTTTATCTTAGTTCCTCTTTTAAACTTGGCTTTTCTGTGGCTTTTCTGTGCCCAGAGTTATCTGGGGCTAGTGTGGGCCAGGAGCATGGGGTTTGCTGGTGTGACAGGCTGGCCATGGTGCCTGACCCCGTCCTATCTGCACCATCAAGATGGAAGGGGAATGTAAACCCTGGTGCCCCCAGCCCCTCCACCCAGAGACAGCTCCACCTGTTCCCTCACGTCCCATCAAGATTCTAGACCTAGCTCCTTTACACACGGTGGTTGTTCCTTCATGCCCTAGGGCATCTGAGGCTGGTATGGGCCAGGCACCCAGTGCTCGCTGAGGCAGCAGGTCAATCACAGCATCTGGAACCCTGCTCCCATCCGCATCACCAAGGTGGAGGGAGAGCACAAACTATGCCACCTGCTAGCCTCTCTGACCTATAGAGAGTTCCAGTAGCTCCCTCACCCTGGGCAGGGTTCCAAGGCTAGTTCCTCCACATTCCAGTTGCTTTTCTGACCTCCAGCTATCCCTCCAGGCCCCAGGGCATCTGCGGCTGGTGTGGGCCAGTGACCCAGAGCTTGCTGATATATCAGTCAAGGCGTCTCTATCTCTCCTGCCTCTCCACGTGGTCTTCCCATCTTCTGTTGTGCAAAAACTGCTCTATCAGCCCTCAACTCCCCCTCAGGCAGAATACGTAGAGATGTAGGTCTGGTGCCTTCGTGGAGGAGGTGAGCCCAAGGTCTTCCCATTTCACCATCTTGGAATTGGACATCTTCTACTGTTTGTTTTAATGCATTTCTTCTGACAATTTTTCCATTTTTTTTTTCTGAAACTATATTATTTCATTTTCATCTTTTTTTGAGTGGCTTTTTTTAAACTGAGTATAGAATTCTGGCTAATATTTTTTCTTATAGCACTCTAAGATGTCATCTGATTATCTTCTGATTTCTATAGTTTCCGTTGAAAAGTTAGTCATAAGTTTCATTGCTGTACCTTTGAAGGGAATAATGCGTGCTTTTTGTTGTTGTTGGTAGCAATTTGACTATGATATGTCTTGGTGTGGTTTTCTTTGTATCTATCCTGCTTAGGGTTTACAGAATTTATGGAATCTATCAATTATAATTGTCTTTCATCAGGTTTGGAATCTTGGGAATTATTTTTTCAAATATTGTTTTTGTCCCACTGTGTCTTTACTTTACTTTAGGGTTATAGTTAGAGGTGTGTTAGACCTTTTGCATGTGTCCTGCATGTCTTTAATATAACCTTTTGAGGTAAAATTTTCTATTTGGATGATATGAATAATTTCTTTTGAACTGACTCAAATGCAGTAATTCTGTAAGCTATAATTACTAGACAGAAGAGGAAAAAAACCTCAAAAACATAGAAGATAGATTGAAATTTTAACTTAGCTATAGGTATGGGGTAGAAAATATTACCAATACCTATCAATTAGTAATCAAAACAAAAACCAAATAATTAGCTATTTGTATATTTGATTAAAAAAAAAACTTTTACATATGCTATTCTCTATTGCTGCATCATTATTCTAATTCCCTTTTCTCTCACCAAATCCCAGTAGAAGAGCCCATCAGGTATTATTAAAATAGGAGTGCTTGTATCCCTCTGGAACCTCCTGATCATCACAGTGTTACCAATAGTGTCAGGCAAGATATTCATGCTCAAATTTCCCATGAAAAGGATGGTTTAAAAATTGACCTTCCCCAGGGGAACTACTAGAGGATTTACCACTGGATTGTTTTTCTCTCCGTTTCTCTGTCATTTCTAGTCTCTCCCTAAAAATAGTTGAGTAACTATTAGCTCTTCTCACAGTAAGTACATTTCTACTTGTTACACTTATTTAATATATTTTAAGTGGGGATTATTTCTTTTAATTATTATTTTTATTTTTTAAAGATTTTATTTATTTGACAGAGACACAGCGAGAGAGGGAGCACAAGCAGTGGGAGAGGGAGAAGCAGGCTTCCCACCGAACAGGGAGCCCGATGCCGGGCTCGATCCCAGGACCCTGGGATCATGACCTCAGCCACAGGCAGACGCTTAACCGACTGAGCCACCCAGGCGCCCCTCTTTTAATTATTTTTAATTGAAGTTTGAAAATTGAGTTGGTTTGTTGTTACCTATTGCTATCTTACACAGAGTACATCTGTTTGAAAGAGAAAAGGCAGAACGAAAAGCAGGCCTTTTGGAGAAAAAGTTAGCAGGTACTGATGGATTCATCCCTTACATGAATATAAAAGGACACGAAGATTCCTTGGTTAGCTTCATGATGAAGGTGAAAATAAATTTTGATTGACTTTTAAAGAAACGGGATTTGTATTACTCTGTGTTAGTCCAAGAGATAACTGGCAAATATTGAGTAGCTTTTTGATCTGCTTCTTATGGAGGATCAGAGAAAGCTGCGCTATGTGGTTGACTGAAAGCCTTTCTGAATACAGAGAGAAGACAGAGGGTAGACCTAAGGTCTCTGAGACTGCAGAACAGAACCGAGCTGAGACAGAACTGGGAGGAGGAGTGGTAGTTAGAGAATGAAGTGTTGGGGTTTTACCTTTTGGGTGTGGGTTACTTCCTGCTGCTGACAACATCTGGGTTTTGGGCTCTAAATGTAAGGGTTGAGGAGAGGTGTAGGCAAAAGTCATTCAAACAAAGGCACAGGGATCACGAAGCTAAATTGGTGGAGCATCTATATTGGACCTTGAAATCTAGAACTGTGGAACGAGTTGGGTTTGGAAGGAAGAGACAAGCCTTGTCCTTAGTTGCAATTCACAGGATGAGCAGAGCTTTTATAGAAGAATGTTGGAGGATGGGATCTACTCTATTGTCAAGGAAGTGGTGAAAGTTTATTTTGAAATCCTTAGACTTTAAGTTTATTATATAACTTAAATATAAGACAAGGTCCATTATAATCCAATTAATGTGATCTGACATTTAAAAAAATTCCATTAAAAAAAATTCAGCAACTACTTTTAAAGTAGTTTAAAGCAATTCCAGTTTTTTTTTTTTTTTTTTTTTAAAGATTTTATTTATTTATTTGACAGAGAGATCACAAGCAGGCAGAGAGGCAGGCAGAGAGAGAGGAGGAAGCAGGCTCCCTGCTGAGCAGAGAGCCCGATGCGGGGCTCGATCCCAGGACTCCGAGATCATGACCTGAGCCGAAGGCAGCGGCTTAACCCACTGAGCCACCCAGGCGCCCCAGCAATTCCAGTTTTTAATTGCCCCCTCAAGTAATTCACAGTAACACTTCCCATTTTTTTTCACTTCTCTCATTAATCTGTCACATTCTTAAAAACCTCTCCCAAACTAATATTCCTGCAACCCTGACCGTTACTCCCATTGCCCTTTTAATCTACCTCTTCTAGCCTTTTAGTGATGCAAACCTATCATTAATTCAAAAATTCTAGCTCTCTTTCTATTTCTCAGTTTCACATGACAAAAAGCCCAGAAACAGAACCCATTTACTTAGCTTCCAGAGTTGAAGGTGTCAAGAAAGTGGAAAGAAGTTTAGAATTTATAAGGTAGAATATTCCCATGGGAGATTGGGAAAGAAATACAAGTATCATCATCCCTTGCCACCCCCCTCCCCGCCCAAGGCTATTTACAATGGAAGCAGGATGATTAGAGGAGCACAAGGGAATCGTTGGGGGAAAGAAGTGGAACTTATTTTGTTTATACCTTTACATCATCAAAGTGGTTATTACTAAATGATGTTCTATAACCATAATGAAGTCTTTATGGAAATATCCATTTCTCTCCCAACTTTTCACTTAACTGTCTTAACATTCATTGATAATCCTAGCCCGAATCAGTTATTTTATTAGAAGCAAAATGATGATTTTAAAATTTCTGTCATTCTTTCTATATTTATTAGCTCAAAATAGTCTGTAAAGAGTATAACTTCATTAACTGAGGCTGTTTGGTCAGCTGTTTCTCCAAGCTCAATTTCCTATGTTCTCAAACCAGTTTCTCCATATGATCATTCTGATACCTCTTTGATGTTCTAGTTTGCTCTTTTGAGTATGCCCTTGTCTCTCTTATGACTCCATAACACTTTATTTCTTCTGAGGGCCTTGCTCCTCAAATTTTTTATTGTGACTATGTATCAAAAAAGGAAGTAAATTTATATTTCAAAAAAGGAATTAAAATCATATTAAGTTCCAAATGGGAAGTTTAACATGTGTGTTGGCATATTTAGGATAAAGGTGAAGATATCCTGACCAAGAACTCTGAAAGAGACATTTTTCATTCTGAAGGACCAAAAGATGGGCAGAAAATTTGGGATAAGTGTCAAGAAGATTCAATCCATAAGGAAAAACAAAAATATGAGTTGGACAGACCTCCACATTCATTCAGCTGGGAAACCAAAAGTGCACGATCCCACTACCAGAAATTCCTCAGTCAGTTGGCTACTCTTCTGAGCAACAATGTTGTCCCCATACCAGCTACCGAGGAGGCTGTGAAACAGAGGATTCAGGAAATTGGTGCAAAAGAACAATCTTGGAAGTCTGTAAGTGTATTGACAGATAAGTCATTCTTTCAAATTTGTTACTTTTAACGTGTCAATTTTGATATTAGCTGATTTAGTAAATTCTGTGGCTCTGAATTTTAACTTTGATTTTATTTTTACTACTACAGTGATAAAAGGAAAAAATGATGCCCATTATTACAGCAGAGGTAGTGTAGTGTTTTTATTAAGAGCAGAGAGCCCAGGTATGAATCCCAGCTCAGCCATTACCAGCTGTGTGCTCTTGGACAGATTGCTTATTCTCTCTGGGCCTCAGTTTCATTTGTAAAATTTGGTGGGATGGTGTGGGGCTGAGGACTGCAAGGGCATAGCTCCTATCTCACAGAGTGGTAAGGGTTAAATGGATTAATACATGATAAATGCTTAGTACAGCTCAGGGTAAGCTCAGTGAATCCTGGCTTAAAAATAGTGGTATGGTGGTATGGTGAAGATAATGTGTCCATCATGCCTAAATACTGCTCAGGCCAGCCAGTGCAGTAAATCCATTTTCAGGTCATTCTTTGAATGTATTGGCCAACTCTATGAAAAGACTGAACGAGCAGGTTTCAGTGGCTCTATCTCCTTGTCATGTTGAGTACCATCTAATGAGTACCATCAATTGAGTACCATCTAATGCCCCTTCACTTAAAATTCAAACGAAGATAGGTATTGCTTAGGTTAAATGTGTTCAAAAAATCTGCTGCCCTCTGTTTATTGTAGAGTTCCAATATTTTCTTTCACTTTTTGCTTAAAATTCATTATACAATTTTATTTCTCAGTGCTCACTAAAATGTCTCATTTTATATAACAGACCTGTCCATTTCTTTTTATAAAACCAGCTGATATTTGTCGCATCTTAAATCTTCCCTACTCACCTAGTTAGTAACATAACATCACTACAGTGTCGGTGTCGGTAGAACTTGCACATAGTTTTTTTTTTTTTTTTTAAGATTTTATTTATTTATTTGACAGACAGAGATCACAAGTAGGCAGAGAGGCAGGCAGAGAGAGAGAGGAGGAAGCAGGCTCCCCGCTGAGCAGAGAGCTCGATGCAGGGCTCCATCCCAGGACACTGGGATCATGACCTGAGCCAAAGGCAGAGGCTTAACCCACTGAGCCACCCAGGCGCCCTTGCACATAGTTTTGAAATGAAATAGAAATTGTGGGCCCTCGGGAGTTTTTGCTCTCCTTCTCCCCACAGAGGACTGAAGTCCTACAGCAGGAAGTTCTGACGCTCACTCAGCGCCTGGAGCAGCTGCAGCGTCACACTGAAGAAGCCGCTGGAGAATCATCCCCAATGCAAGACAGGTGTAGGGAACAAAAAGGACCTTGGAAACATCTGGAAGGAAAAACTGCTGTTAATTACTTTTTTCAAGAGAGTTTAGCCTTGGACAGGAATAAAGTAAGACTTTCCTGGATAAGGCATTTCTCTGACAATGAAAATGATCAGATTTTGTTATATTATCTAATGTTGATTTGATATTAGATATTATGAATGCTGTTAGTGCTATTTATACTTAATACGGGAAAAGAGAGGAAAATTTGCTACAAATCTTTAAACCTTCTGCTTTTATAAAAAAGCTTCTCTTTGTTCCATACCTCTCATTTCTCTAATACACACATATTCCATATTCATTTGGAGGACAGTTGTTAGTGTATTTCTTAATGTACTTTAAAAAGGGGATTGGAAGCAAAGGAGCTCCAAGAAATGATTGTACAGGTAGAACATAAGGGACTGTGTCAGCAAGATACGAGGAGTATCAAGGAGGGACCAGCGATGTTATTCCTCAGTAATTACTATGTAGACCAGTACCTTCTCTACTCTCCACTTCTCTGTGTCTGTAAGGAAGACATGAAAGCATCAGTTCTATGATTATTCATTTCCCTGCAAACATTTTAAAACGCTATTTTAGATTTTAAGAATATTCAGTTAACACACGCTTTCTACAACTCTTGAAACCAAGTTAAAAGGTTTGAGGAAAGAATAATTTTCCTCAACTTTCTTTCTGCCTATTTTCCCTCAGTAACCAGTAGTGTATATATCTTCTACAACTATTGCCATGGTTATGGAAATATACAAGTACATATATGTGGGTGGTGGTATTTTTATAAAACTGGGACTATACTAGTCAAATATTCTTCTTACATAGTGAAAAGTTAAGTACCTCATGGTTTTTTCTTAGGTGAAAAGATAAAGGTTTAACTCATTCCTTTAACAATTTTTTTTTTTAGATTTTATTTATTTATTTGACAGACAGAGATCACAAGTAGGCAGAGAGGCAGGCAGAGAGAGAGAGAGGAGGAAGCAGACTCCCTGCTGACGGTAGAGCCTGATGTGGGGCTCAATCCCAGGACCCGGGGATCATGACCTGAGCTGAAGGCAGAGGCTTTAACCCACTGAGCCACACAGGCACCCCCCCTTTTTTTTTAATTCTTTTTTTTTTTTAAGATTTAATTTATTTATTTCACAGAGAGAGAGAGATCACAAGTAGGCAGAGAGGCAGGCAGAGAGAGGGAGAAGCAGGCTCCCTGCTGAGCAGAGAGCCCAATGCAGGGCTCGATCCCAGGACCCTGAGATCATGACCTGACCTGAAGGCAGAGGCTTAACCCACTGAGCCACCCAGGCGCCCTACCTCATAGCTCAAAGCTACCTTAATAGCTGCAGAGTGGTCCACAGAGTTTATAGAACTTACTTATTTGATCAGTTCCCAATTGATGGACTATCAAAATATTTCCACCTTTTATACCACTGCTAATAATGGAGCAGTAAATAGACTTATACATATATCTTTCCACATTGGTGCCTTCTGCCCCTATGAGACTGAGTTCTACATGTGAAATTGTAGGATCACAGTGTATGAGTATTTTAAATTTCAATAGCTACTGCCAAAATACTACTTCCAAAAGGCGGAAGGAATTTACTTTCCGAATAGAAATATAGGAGTAGCTCTTTCTTTTCATAGTCTAGCCAGCATTGGAGATGTCGTTTTTTTTTTTTTTTAAAGACTTCATTTTGACAGAGACACAGCCAGAGAAGCGGGGGGAGTGGGAGAGGGAAGAGCAGACTTCCCGCTGGGCAGGGAGCCCAATGTGGGGCTCAATCCCAGGACCCTGGGAATATGACCTGAAGGAAGGCAGATGCTTAACTGACTGAGCCACCCATGCACCCCGAGATGTCATTCTTTTAGAGACGCAGAGAGAGGGAGAGAGAGAGAGAGTTGAGTTAAAATAGTGCAGTTTTAACATTTCCCTGATTACTAACTAGTAAGGTTGAGTGCCACCTCCCTTTTTAAATGTTGGTTTCTTTTTTTTCTTTCTTTCTTTCTTTTTTTTTTTTTTAAATGTTGGTTTCTTAGATTCCTTTGCCTCTGTACTCCTCACAGTTTGGAACCTCAGATGCAGAGTTAATCAAACTCTGTGGTTCCTAACACATTATCTTGGGCCGTGGAAGGGCTTTCTCTTATTTATTATTATTTATTCCATTTAAGTCCATTTTTCCATTCCCTCTTCCAAAGTTCAATCTGGGGTGCCTGGGTGGCTCAGGCAGTTAAATATCCTACTCTTAATCTCAGCTCAGGACTTGATCTCAGGGTTGTGAGTTCAAGCCCTGCACAGCATGGAGCCAACTTGAAGCAAAAACAAAGGAGATCAATCTAATGTGTTTAACGTGTATCTTTTTGTTTATACAGTTAACCCTTGAACAGTGTGGGGGTGAGTGTCATTAACACCCTCCCCATGTAGTCAAAAATCCCCATGTGTAAGTTTTGATTCTCCCCCAAACTTAATTACTAACAGCCTACTGTTGATAATATAGTCAATTATCAGCCTTGCTGATAACATAGTCAATTAACACATATTCTGTATGCCATATTTATATATACTGTATTCTTAAAGTAAGCTAGAGAAAAGAAAATGTTAAGAAAAATCATAAAATGCAGTGACAGTACTGTACTCTATTTCTCAAAAAAATAAGTGGACTGGTATAGTTCACACCCATGTTGTTCATGGGTCAGTAGTATGTTCTTTTAAATATAATTTTAATATGTTATTAATTTATCATTAATATAATTATATTATAATAACTCAGCATTGTATCTTTAAGATAGACTTAGTGAGGGGCGCCTGGGTGGCTCAGTGGGTTACAGCCTCTACCTTTGGCTCACGTCATGATCCCAGGTTCCTGGGATTGAGCCCCAAGTCGGGCCCTCTGCTCGGCAGGGAGCCTGCTTCCCTCTCTCTCTCCCTGCCTCTCTGCCTACTTGTGATCTCAGTCTGTCAAATAAATAAATAAAATCTTTAAAAAAAAGACAGACTTAGTGATGCTATGTGTTCATCTAGTTCACTGCTTATATTACATGGAGTTCTACGGGATGCTTATCTGCCATGCTCTGCCTATCCACTCCTTGGTGATGAATGCCTTGGTTACCTTTGTCTTTCTGCCACCACAAACACTGCTACCAGCATCTTTGTACAAGTTGCCCTATAGGCCTGTCAGAGAATCTTAGGGGTGTTTGCTCAAGACTGGAATTGGTGGCTCATTGTGTTAGGATTATACATATACTTAATTTGATTAAGTGATTAATTTGATAAAGCCAGTCAGCTCTCACAGAATGATAGTCCTACCAGTAATACATGAGGGTTCTTGAATCTCCACGTTCTTGTAATTTCTTAGCATTAACCAGCTTCCTGATATTTTTCCATTTCATTGGGTATGAAATGATTGCGAATTTAATATGCATTTCTCTCAATATTTTTTTTAAAGATTTTATTTATTTATTTGACAGACAGAAATCACAAGCAGGCAGAGAGGCAGACAGAGAGGGAGGGGGAAGCAGGCTCCCCACCAAGCAGGGAGCTAGATGTGGGGCTCGATCCCAGGAAACCTGGGACCATGACCCGAACTGAAGGCAGAGGCTTTAACTCACTGAGCCACCCAGGCGCCCCCATTTCTCTCAATATTAATGAGTTGAAGCATTTCCTTTTTGATTTTTAGTCTTTAGGCTTTTTAGTATTTGCCTGTTTGTTTCCTTTACCTGTTTTCCTATTTGGGTTCCAGCCTATTCTTGTTAATTTCCAAAACTGTGTGCATGTCTTCTTCACCCTGTTCAGACCCTTACACTCCATGGCAGGTCACCTCCCCATGTGGGCTCTCCTCTCACCCCAGTCAGGCTCTAAGTCCCTCTGCAGAGCACCCCTCCCCTGTGCCCACTTTTATTGCCCTGCTTGGGCCACATTCTGGAGCCTACTTTGTTCTGCCCACTTAATGGCTTTAGGGCTGAATTGTCCAGAGAGGAAAAGAAAGGAAAGGAAGAATAAAAAGAGAGTAAGAGTAACTAGTTTATGTTTAACTTTTTAAACATCCTGATAAATATACTTATTTTAATCATAATTTTCTGTCAAGAGGTACTTTAGCTTTGTTTCACAAATATTGACAAACTATTGGTCAAGTTTAGAGACTGAACAACATTTGAACCAGTATTTTCCTTATTTTTCATTTTAAATATAGTAACACATTTTAAAGTTTCCAGATGTATGAGATTTTAAAAATTTTGTATTTTATTACAACATGCTGGAAGTATATGATCCTTGAGTATTTACTGAGACTTCTTACATGGCTGAATACTTGGTTGATTTTTGTAGCTGTTCCATGTGTGTTTATAAGAATGTGTTCTCTGTTGGGTATAAAGTTCCATATATAGCTAGTGCTAAAGCATATTATTCATATGGTTCAAATTGTCAGTATCTCTGATTATTTTTATATCCTTGATTCTGGGAAAGGGATCCTAATTCTCTAAGGATAATTTTTTGTTCATCCAAGTAACTTTGCAGTTCTGTCATTTTATTCTTTAGAGATTACTGGAGCATGTGCACTCATGACAATCTTTGGCTATCTTGTTCTTTTAAGCACTATAAAACAGTCTCTTTCTTGTGCTTTATAAAATGTTACCTTAAATTCTCCATTTTCAGAAATTATGGTTACTAGTGCAATGATCTTTTGGTTCGTGTTTGCTTGATATGTATTTTTATCCTTTTATTTTTTGCCTTTCTCCATCTTTGTCATTAAAGACAGTATGTGGTTGTATTTTTAAAAAATCAAATTAGGGAGTTATCCAATTGGTGAATTTAACATATTTATCTTTATTGCAATTACTATATTAGTATGTGATTGTCCTAACTTATTTCATGATTTCCAAATATTTTACTTTTCTTTTGATGGGGGTGTCTTCTTTCTTGGTTTCTATTAAGATAGATAGAATTTTTTTCTCCTGGTTTTAAAATTGTATGTTCTATTTTTATTCTTATGTTGTTTGTTCTTTAACTAAGAACCATACTTTCTTTTACCTAATATTTATAGGAATACCTTGCCCCTTTGATTGTTGACCTCAGTCCCCAGTTGTGCTGAGAATCTCTAAACTTTTAATTTTTGCATTGCTTTTTGTTTTCTTTTTGTTTCCTTTTACTTGGTTCTAGTTATTTTTAGACAACCACTAAACTTGACCAAGGTATTTGATACTTTGTAGGGTCCATGGTGTTATTTAAAGTTTATAGTATTGAATTAGACATGATGAAAAAACATGCAAGAACAGCGAGAGATCAGTTTTTACCACAATATGAAATTTACTGGAGAGATCAACTGCTCACACACGATTAGTGTCACAGATAGTCCCAACACTTGAACTTACTGCAATAGCAACAGGAGGTAGCTACAAAATTATTATAGTAGTACAGTATGTAGTACAGTTAATTTTATGCAATTATTCATTTAACACTGCATTTTCATGTTTGTTTCTATTTCTCTTGAATGAGGATGGTATTATGTATGACCTATGGTACTCGTGTAATTTTTGATAAATTTTAACTTTTTGTAATAGATTTGTGAAAACTTATGATAGCAAATGATAAAATATACTAGTTTCTATATATATGTATGTATTTATGACATACCTAACCTTTTCTTAATTTTTCTGATATCTGTAGGCTATGTGGTTCATCTATGAGTTTTTTCAAATTCTTGCAAATCTTCACAAGTTTTCTCAATATATTTACTGAAAAAAAATCTGTGTATAAGTGGACCCATCATACAGTTCCGAACCTGTGTCATTCAAGGGTCAACTCTACACACACACACATACATACACACACACACCCTTGAATGGTCTTGTTTCTCTGGAGAACCCTAATGCACTTTGCTTTTTAAAATTTTCATTTTATTTTAATTTTTAAAATTTTTAAAGATTTTTTTTTAAGTACTCTCTACACCTAACATGGGACTCAAACTTACAACCCCAAGATCAAGAGTCTACTGACTGAGCCAGCCAGGTGCCCCTGCTTTTTTTTTTTTTTTTTAATAGTTTATATCCTATTGTCCTTTTATCCTGCCTTCTTAAAGAGTTTTCAGTCTGATATTTCTTTTTCTTTAAGATTTTATTTATTTATTTGACACAGAGAGAGATCACAAGTAGGCAGAGGGAGAGAGGGGGAAGCAGGCTTCCCGCTGAGCAGAGAACCTGATGCGGGGCTTTATCCCAGGACCCCGAGATTAGGACCTGAGCTGAAAGCAGAGGCTTAACCCATTGAGCCACCCAGGTGCGCCTCAGTTGGATACTTCAACTCACTCAAATTTGTTCCTTAAACTGAGATTTTATCCATCTTTTTATCTCATCTACTATGTTGCTCATTTCAGCTCGTACATTTATCATATCTAATATTTTTACTTAGTTGTTTTACTTTATAATTTCTTGATCAGTTAATGTCATCTCTTCTCTCCTGAGTACCTACAACTCTGAGTAAAGGTAAAGTTATAATTTTTACACGAAACTGAAAGTGATCAGAAAAAATAAAGCCTTGTCCTAAATTTCATTTAGTGACAGATGAAGAATTAATACAACAGAATACATTTTTGAAAGGATTTTATTTATTTATTTGAGAGAGAGAGAGAGTACATGAGCTGGGCTGGGGGTGGGGTGTGGGAAGGGCAAAGGAAGAAGCAGACTCCCTGCTGAGGACATCATGGGGGGGCAGGGGTGCTCCATCCCAGGACCCTGGGATCATGACCTGAGCAGAAGGCAGACACTTAAGTGACTGAGCCACCCAGGTGCACCCACCAACAGAATACTTTTAAAGGAACAACAGAGGACAGAAATAGAGTAGGTTAATGATACCACTATGTGAGTGTAATTATTCAATGGAAATTTTATACCTGTCAGAGTGGCAATTCGTACATGCAATTTACAATTTACTCCGTCAGCTTTGTAATATAATTCTTAACAAATTAAAAATATTCTTTTTGAATATCTATTTCAAAATGTATATTTAAGATAGATTAATATACCTTTTTCCTACTATTACAGGTATCTGTAGTTTAAATATTTATAGTATTAGTGATTGGTAATTTTTGATAATTTGGCACATCTTCTTTTTCCCTATAGCAGATTTTATTTTATATACTCTAATAGGATTTTATACTTTTCTTCATGTAAGTCCTATAAGTCCTTCCTACAAGTCCTTCTTGTAAAATTTATCCCTAGGTCTTTTATAGATTTTCTGTTCATTGTTAATAACATATTTTCCCCATTTTTATTTGAAATGGCTCTTACTAATATAAATAAAAACATTTGATATGTTTTGTTGTTTTTTTAAAGCTTTATTTATCTTGCACACATGCGCAAACTTGGGGGAAGGGCAGAGGGAGAGGGAGAAAGAGAATCTCAAGCCAACTCCCTTGAGTGCAGAGCCCAGTGCAGGGCCCTGAAATCAAGACCTGAGCTGAAATCAAGAGTCTGAGGCTTAACCAGGTGCCCCACATTTCATATGTATATATTTTTATTAATTACCTACCATTTTACTGAATTCACTTATTAATCCAATAGTTTTCTTAACTAGGGTTTTTTGAGTTTTCCAGACATGATTGCATATTATTGTTTTCTAGAAAATACTGTGCTTCTATTAGATTTTCAACTTATTGCCAATGAGTTATAAAATATTCTTTTAGAATTATTTTCATACTTTCTATATGTATGAATTCTGCATATTTCTCCTTCCTAATGTTAAGTGTTTTTACTTTCTCTCTTTCTTCCTTTTAAAAAAATATTTTATTTATTTGAGAGAGAGAGAGAGCACACACAGCAGGGGGGCAGAAGGAGAGGGAGGACAGACTCCCTGCTGAACAGGGAGCCTGATGCTGGGATGGAGCCCCAGACCCTGAGATCATGACCTGAGCCAAAGGCAGACGCTTAACCGACTGAGCCACCCAGGCGCCCCCTTTATCTTTTTCTTCTTCTTGTCTCCAGGCTTGCTTAGGGGCATGTATTTTATTTTTCCAAAGAATAAGTGGTTCTCTTTAAATATAAATTTTACTAGCTTTTGATCTATATATAGTGAAAATATACAGTATTTTAATGAAATTTGCATACCTTCTTTTTTTTTTGCTGGTAATAACTTCATAAAGTACAGATTATTAGAAAGAATATAATTAAAATCACCAATAATCCTACCACTATGAGATAACCAGTGTTAACTTATAGGCATAGTTTTTCTTAATCCTGCTTCTTCCATTTAGTTGTATCACTAGTATTTTCTCTTAATAAATATTTTTGTAACTTGACTTTTAGGGAGGGTATAATCAATCATATGTAATTTAATTATACTTTTTTGGACATTTGCATTGTTTCTATTTTTCATGTTATAAATAATGTAAATATCTTTGTGTCTGAATCTTTAAATATTCGTTTCCTTATAATACATTGCTAGAAAAGTTGATACAATCTATGTTACCATCAGGTGTTTATAAAATTGTTAGCACTGAGCCATCAATTTTATTGCCATATTTTATTTTCCAGATTATTTTAATAATGCATATCTATGGCAAAAAAAAATATTTTAAGTAAGCAAGTATTACTGTCCGCTGCTTATTAGCCTAGAGTAGATCTGGTATGCTAATGTGGAACACCACCTTAAAGCACAACTTCTTTATTTCAATACTGTTGATTTCTGCAAAGGAAAACTCTGGGACTAAGAATTTGTGGACAGACGAGCATGACAAGATGTCCAGACAGCTAGAAAAAGATAATGAGCAACAAACATTATTGAATATTCAGCAGAATTTACAGATTGCTACAACTCAGAGACTAGAGGAGAAGATTCAGAAACTTCAGAAACAGCTCAGTGATTTGAAATTGTCGAATAAAAGTATGAAAATTCAACTTACAAGAGTAAATGTCCTTAAAGTAAGTAAAGTGAGGCTTTCAAAAATTCTCTTCAGCTTTGATCTGCTACTATTTCAGCTGCATGTTTCTTATGAATTTTTAAAAGATTAACATTAAAATTATTTTATATGCACACATGAGTACATATAATATGAAAGCATATTGGATAATAAAATTAGATGCATAGACATCTACCACTTATCTTAAAAACCAGGGTATTGTCAACCCCACTGAAACCCTCATCTATTCTTTTCCCTACTTCTCAAAGTTAACTGGTATTCTAAATGTTAGAATTCTAGAGTCCTTGCTCTTTCCATCTTATTTTGGTCTTTCTTATTGGGGTAATAGTTAAGTTTTATTCATTTTTGGAGACTCCTCTTTGGATCTTCTCCATATCAAGCTTCACTTGTAGTATTTCAAACATATGTTTTATGCCTTAAAACAAAGGTGCACTAAATACTTCCAAAAGTGGTGTTTTTTGGCATTTTACCAGCAACGTTTATCTTAACTGCAAAGCCAGTTATTTTCTCTATTTCTGATTTTGGTTAGCAGAGGCAGTACAACTTTTGAGGACATGAATACTCATTAAACTTCTTTAAATCTCAAGTGCCTAGTTTATAAAAGTGCTCAGTGACTGTTATTGATGAGTATGATGATTGAGACATGTCTTCTTAATTCATAAATTGTGGAATTTTCTTTCTTTTCCATATATCAGAGCCTTAAAAAAAGAAGAAAAGAAGTGTGGGTTATATCACACATCTTGTCTTTTACTTAAAAAAGATCTAATTAGTCATATCCTTTTCCCCCAAACTTATACCCTCACAGGACAAAACAATCGAAAAGCTCAGGCAATCTTTAACACAAGTTGAAGCAATGAAAGGGAAAGCAGTTATGAAAACAGACAATTTGAAAACTACATTACACTCTGCCAAGCAAAAGGCAAGAGGGGACAAAGAGAAGGTCCATCAGCTGTTAGATGCTGTCACTTCTGAGCCCTGCACAGCAAAGAGCACTCTTGATAAAGTACCAGGACAACAACAAGAGGTTTGTTTTGTTCATTATTATATTAAGAGTCTTTAAAGTGATTAACACCACTGTCACCTTAGACTCTTATCTAATCCAGACAAAAAGGAGTTTGTTGGCTTATGGACTCAAAGGTGAGTTAAGCAACCAGACCTCAGCAAGAGCGGCACTTGGGCTTCAGGATTAGCACCTGGAACCTTCTAAAGCTTTCTCACCCTCTCTTCCTGGCTCTGTGTGTGTGTCAGCTTGCTTTATGTTTAGAGATTCTGGGACAGGGGAGAGAGTCCCCAGAAAGGGTCTAAGAAAGCCCAGCTTAGATCAAATGCCTATTCCTGGTGAATCCACAGTAGCAAGGGATGGCATAAATGATTATCTTCACTTAGGTTTGCATATACATCCTCTGACCAATGGCGAGAGGAAAAAGATGTCCAAGAATGGAAGTTCAGGGGAAACCATGTGTCTGGGGCTGAGTCACCTTCTAGGAAAAGAGGGTAGTGCTTCTAAATTTGCCTAGATTCTCACAACATTTATAAAGCAGGTGTTGTAAGAGAATTTTTAAAAAGATTTATTTATTTTAGAAAGAAAGAGAGAGAATGAGTGGAAGGAACTGAGGCAGAGGCAGAGGAAGAGAGAACCTCAAGCAGACCCTGCTCTGAGCTTGGAGCCCTGTTTGGGACTCGAGATCACATCCCTGAGATCAGGACCTGAGCTGAAACCAAGCTGCCCCTTAAAAGAATTTTTAAAAGGCTAACTGATAATTTGGGGCTACTGTGGAATTATATGCTACATCTCTTATTAGTAGCTTAAGAAATATGTAGTTTAACCAATTACCTTAAAAGATTCTTGAAACATAAAATCATATTATTTTTGTTTTTTTTCTCTTTTTAAATTTCTGCAAATTTATATTCTTGTTTTTACTCTTCTCAATATATCCTTTCTATATTTTCAGTCAGATCTCCTCTTCTTTGGCTACTCTGTAGTTCACTCTTTACTTCTGAGTTCACTTTGTTTTATTCTTGCCTGAGTTCAACCACCACATCTCCCTCATCTGTAAGGCATATTGGATATCATTTTTTGGTCCATTTGTATTCTGAATTACAACATTTCTCATTCAAAATAGAGGCCTCCTCTCCCTGCCCCATATCTGCAAATCCTTGTTTGAAATTTTTTTTAAAAAAAGATTTTATTTATTTAGTTGTGAGACAGAGACAGTACGCACATGTGGGTGGGGTAGTAGGAGCAGAAGGAGAGGGACAAGCAGACTCCATGCTGAGCACCAAACCTGTGGAGGGTTCAATCCCAGAAATCAAAATCAGATATTTAACCAACTGAGTCACCCAGGCACCCCTGAAATTTAATCCATATCAGGTATTGTGTCAAACATGTCTCTTTTGCTCCGTGGCAGTTTTCTGGGGAGAAGTATTTTCATCACCTGACTAGTTTGGATAATGCTATTTTCTATTTAAAGAAATTTGGACGGATATTATTTGCCTTTTATCTATTCATGTTAAAACCCTTTTAATTGGGGTGCCTGGGTGGCTCAGTTGGTTGATTGTCTGCCTTTGACTTGGGTCATGATTGTGGAGTCCTGGAACTGAGTCCTGGGATCGAGCCCTGTATGGTCTCCCTGCTCAGTGGGGAGTCTGCCTCTCACTCTCCCTCCTCCTGCTCCCTTTTTCCCTCAAATAATTAAGTAAAATCTATAAAAATAAAATAAAATACTTTTAATTGCCCTGATCTCTCAATTTCAGGTGTTTCACTTTAGGGTAGTTACAGGGCAGGGTTTACTTGCTTGGTTTTGTTTTTTGTTTTTGTTTTTTTTGTTTTTTTTTTTTTAACTCAATACTACCCTCTTGTGTTGCCACAGTGAGGTGCAGTTCTCCAGTCTTCCGTCAAGCCCTATATATATATATACACACACACACATATATATTTATTTATTTATTTATTTTTCCCAGCAAGCCTTTTATGTTGGGGTGAGAAGTTATATGATGCCTGCTTCTGCAGTACTCTTGTTTATAGAAGTCCCTGACTTTCCACTGTTTGATTTTTTTCTTTTCCTTTATCTCCTATCTTCCAAGGAACATCTCACCAAGTATCTCCCTCTTCCCTCAGAAAGCTTGTCCTTCAGAACTGCCATTTTGGGGAGTGCCTGCGTGGCTCAGTTGGTTAAGCGTCAGACTCTTGGTTTCCGCTCCGGTCATGATGTCATGGTCACGGGCTGGAGCCCCACTTCGGGCTCTGTGCTGGGTGTGGAGTTGGCTTCAGATTCCCTCTCCCCGGGCCCCTTCACCCAGCTCCTTTGTGGGCACGAGCTCTCTCCCTAAAAATAAAAAAATAAAATCTTTAAAAAACAAAAAAAAAGACTGCCATTTTTGGTCTCATGTGCTTCTAAGCCCTTTTCTTTTTCTTTCCACTTGCCAGTTTTCTGACCCACCAGGTCTTAGACTTCTCAATATTTCCCCATTTCTGCGTGGTCCTATGTCCGGGACACCACTGGAAACCAGCTGCATCCTCCAGTGTGGGCTCAGGAGCTGCCTCTGCTGGTTTAGGATATTTATTTCCCCACTTATACACAAACTGAATTCTGTGATATTCTCTACTTATTGCTTTAGATATGATTTGTGGGTGGTTATAACTGCTTTCCTTAGAAGATCACTATGGTTTTTGGAGGAGGAGTGGAGAGATATGCTTAGCGGACTACTATGACCATATAGCAAATCCAAAGTCCAAAAAGGAATTTCCTTAGGGATGAAAAACAAGCAATAGTAAAATTAAGTTTAGTCTATAAAGTGTAAAAATAAAATCTTAAAATGAAAAGGACATTTTAAATAAAGAGTTCTTGTAATATTTATAGCTTAAAATATGATTTGAATGTAGAATGTTACATGTCATAAAGAAATGTTTAATAAAACTACATTTCTGATACCAATTTCATTGTACACAATAAGGTGGCCAAAACTAATGATATATCTTATGTTGTTGGTGGTTTTTCTGTAGCTTTCCGATTTTCGAGAAACTATTATGAAGATGTTGGGATTTAACATGAGAACAGCTGACAAGGAAATCATCAATCACCTAAGGCTTATTATACAGGATTATGAAGCATCTAACAAATCAAAGATTGCTTCTGATTGTGAGACTGGACAGTTTAATGAATAAAAAAGTTCTTTCTTCATTGCTGCCAGCAAGAGCACAGAAGATATAGATATCTCCTCCAGCCTCTTGAATTGGCTACATAATGAATAAAATGCATTGGGAATTTTTCACTTGAAAAATATTCTTCTTTGATATTTGGCAGTTAACTTTTCTTTGTCATTATCTTGTTCTATATGTTTATTTATGGTCTAGTCTATGTTGTTACTTATATATCTAATTATATATTATTAACTGTATTTTAAACAGGGTATTAATCAGAACTTGTGTTCTCACTGGGAATATTTATATTTATAGTTAACAGACTATTTCTAAAATGAAAAGTCCAGAATAATTATTTTAAAGTCAGCTGATTGGTAACCTTAACTCCCTTTTGCCATGTAGCCTAAAATACAGGTTCCAGAGATCAGGACATAGACCTTTTTGGGGAGCCATCATTCTGCTGACCATAGCTCACATCTACCCAAATTGAATACACATATATACCTACCTAATAGAAATGTGTATATAGGGGACGCTTGAGTGGCTGAGTTTGTTAAGCCTCTGACTCTTGATTTTGGCTCAAGTCGTGATCTCAGGGTCATGGGATTGAACCCCATGTTGGGCTCTGCAGTGTCATGGGACTGAACCCCATGTTGGGCTCTGCAGTGAGCCAGAGTCTCCTGCCCTCCCCCTGCCCCTCCACATCTGCTCACGCTCTCTCTAACATAAATAAATCTTTAAAATAAAATAAACTATAAAAAAGAGAAATGTGTATATAAATTCTACAAAAAGGTATTTATAAAAGTGTTTATGGCAGCATTGTTCATAATTGCCTCAAACTGGAAACTGTCCAAATGACCAAAAGTAGAGTTAACTATGACAACCAGATCCATCGGTTAAGCAATCAGATCTCCTTCACTTGTGGGACAGGGAGAGGTCACCTGGAATGAGGAATTTTCTTAGCGGCCAAACCATAAAGTGACTCCAGGTCTAACACTGGGGATATGACAAATAGAGGACAATGAGTTTGAAAGGAAATGGTAACTTTATGGGGCTCCACTTAGCATGCAATAACCAGTGGCTTGTAAAGAGAACTTAGTTCTTGTCGCACATCTGTTGTTGACCATCCTCCAATTTTAAAATAAACCTCAAAATCAGGAAATGTGGCCTGGATTTCTGTTTTGTGGCTCTGGGGTTTCAGGCAGCCCCAACTGCCCTAGCTGGAACATTTTTCGGGTCAGATTAATGGAGCTTGTTGCTCCAGGACAGGAGCCAGCAGGCACAGCCACTAGACACTTTCTGTCGGGAACCGTTGCCTCAAACGCAAGGTGCCATTTTCAGACTTGAAAGGCTGAGATCAATTTTCTCCCTCCTCACCTATCTGGAGCGTCCCCTTTGGCAAAAGTGGAACCATTAGGACCTGTACAACCTACTGTAAAGCCTCGCCTGCGGCCCAACACACCCTAGCGACGAGGGCGGCTGTTTATAGAAGACCACGTAGCGGGGCAGATTCCCGTTCGAGACGCTACGACGGACGCGGCCAAACTGCAGGTGCGACCCCAGGCGGCGCACTGCAGCCGAGCCACGGCGACCGTTCAGCGAGTCGGCGCTACTGCGCCTGCGCCCAGTCGAAACCGCGGCAACCGACGCCGACGGCTGAAGGGAGCGGAAAAGACACGGGGGGAGCTTGGTGGTGACTCGCTGGCAGAAGTGATTGGCTGGTGGAAGACCCGTCTCAGATCGCGCCTCCATGCGGGGCGGGGAACCCGCCGAGGGGGAGGTCGGAGCTCGAGCGTCCAGCGCAGCGGGGGGGAGGGGGGCGGTGTCGCGGGAGAACTGTCGCGCGGGCGCGGGGCGGGTTTTCCGGGCTCCCCGGGACGCCGGCGGCCTACGCGGTCGGGTCGGAGCGCGCTGGGCTCACCCGGGAGCGTTCTGGCGGGGCTTCCGCGCGGGCGTGCTGTGGGTGGCGCTCACAGCCGGGAGTTGGAGGGCTCAGGTGGCGCCGGTAACCGTTTTTAAAAGTCTCCGGTGACGCCTTCTTGGCCAGGGTCGGAGCCAGCGCGCTGTTTTAGGCCCCTCTGAGCTGGAGCGCCGTGTGGCTCCCAAGTGCCCGGGGTGACCTCGGGGTGGGTCCATGCGGGGAGGGACGTCAGCTCTGCAAGCCTAGATTTTGTCAGCTCCCCGCGCAGATCTGGGGTTGGAGAGGACGCGGGCCTTAAGTAAACTAGACGCTAAGTGAGCAGCAAGGAGGGACGCTCTCTCCCGCAGGCGTCCACTCTGCATAGTGAGATGGGGCAGGGGCGATGCTTGTGAGGACGGACACTGCAGGCTTCGGAGTATGATGCATTCTTTCCTGGAGGAACCTGCCTTATTTCTTACTGCGTTCAGCTCAGTTACCCCATTACCTTTCTGAAGATTGGCTGTTCAGGTCACTTTGGACTCGACCAAATGTCGGTGTTTCTTTCATAAACCATTTTTTAGGATGATCTAATCGATAGCAGAGCTTACTTATTTGAACTCGATTCTTTATTTGGGGGTTTTATTAACGGCAATTGGGATGTGGCTTACATAGCATAAAGTTCACCTGTTTTAAGTGTACAATGAATGATTATTAGCATATTTACATAGTTGTACAACCATCACTATAATGGAATTAAGGACTGGTGATTTTCCTGGTAATTGCTTTTATTATTCTCAGGTTTGCACAAGTGGGCATTTAAAGGTACAGTGTAACATAGGAGACTCTGAAGATGTACACTCAAGTTCTTATACATGAGTAGATGAAATTAGAATTGAAGCATATCTTTTCCTAGATGTTGCAGTGATGAAACTTGTGTATTGCAATCCAAAGAGTTACTGTATCAACGGTCTCATTTTTTTAAGAGTATGGCATAAATCCCATTTTACAGATGAGGAAATTGATTTTGAAGGATAAATTGCCTAAAGCATCATAGCGGTGCCTAGACTAAGCCCCTGTCCTAGATTCTTTATCTCCAAATTTATTGCCTTTGCCACTTCAGCCTGATTTTCAATTAAATGTATGTATGACCTGTACAACTCATTCATTTATTGAGCAGATAATTATTGAGTGATCAGTATGCCAGCAACAACATAAAACTGCTCTACATGCTAGAGATACTGTAGTGAACCAGCTAAATTCCTACCCTCAGTTAATATTCTGGTAGAGTACACAATGATCAATTAAAGAAACACTAATATTAGATATTGAGACATGGCATTTTTTAAAAAGGCAAACTAAGAGTACAGGGAATGGAAAATTTCATCAAAATTGATATAGTTTTAGAAGAAAGATATTAGCATATGGATATGAAAGATAACTGCTACAGCCTGAAATTTGTCCCCTGCCCACATTCAAATATTGAAGCTTTGTAATGGTATTTGGAGGCGGGACTGTTGGGAGGTGATTAGGTTTAGATGAGGTCTCAAGGGTGGGACCCTTGTGATGGGATTAGTGTTCTTAGAAGAGGAAGACAGACCTGAGCTCTCTTCTCTCTGCCACTTGAGGGCATTGCAACCCGTGAAACAGGTGCTTACCAGGAACTGAATGGACTGGCACCTTGAAGATGGAATTCCCAGCCTCCAGAACTGGGAGAAATAAATGTTTGGTGTTTAAGCTACAGTTAAGCTAAGTTAGTCTTGAAGCAGACTTTCCACTGAGTGGGGAGCCTACATGGGCCTCTCCCACAACCCATGAGATCATGACTTGAGCTGAAACCAAGAGTTGGATGCTCGATGTACTGAGCCACCCAGGTGCCCCCACCACAAGTTGTTTCCTACTGTTTCCTTCAAAGGGTGGTGGCAAATATCCCTGCTCTTGAGTGTGCGCTGGACTTAGTGACTTGCTTTTACTAAGTAGAACATGGCAGAAGTGGAGGGATGTCGGTAGATCATGAAGGCATCATGACTTCTCCTTGCTCCCTCTCTTGGATCATTCATTTGGGTAAACCAGCTGCCCTTTCATGAGGACACAGCGAGCAGTGCTTTGGAAAGTCCTGTCTGGCAAGGAACAGAGGCCTGCTCCCAACAGCCAGTGAGGAACTTGGGCCTTGTGCAGTTTTGTTAGCCCCAGGTAAGCCTTCAGATGATTGCATCTCCAGGTGACAGCTTGGCAGCCATATCACAGGAGATACTAACAGGATCACTCAGTAAAGCACTCTCAAAATCCTGTCAGGTAATACATGTTTGTTGTTTTAAGTCATTACGTTTTGAGGGTAATATCATAAGTGGCAATAAATAACCAATTCTTTGTAAATGTTATATTCTCTTGTTTTCTCCTGCTAATAACTATTAGCTTCATTCCTGAGAAAATCAGTTAATTTTCTTTGCCTTTGTTTTATCATATATAAAATAGTTGGACAGTCCTTCTCAACTTTGTTTCCACATTAGAATTATCTGGGCAGCTTCTAAAATACATATGCTAGTCCCACCCTTAGATCAGTTAAGAGAAATCAGAACTCAGGGAGGGCCCAGTTCTGGAGTTCTTTTAAAAGAACTTTTTTAGGGGCACCTGGGTGGCTCAGTGGTTAAAGCCTCTGCCTTCGGCTCAGGTCATGATCGGCAGGGAGCCTGCTTCTCTCTGCCTGCCTCTCTGCCTCATTGTGATCTCTATCTGATAAATAAATAAAATCTTAAAAAAAATTAAAAATGGAAAAGTGGACACTGGGTCACCTACTGATAAAAAGAAAAAAAATGAACTTTTTAAAAGTTCTCTTTGAGATTCTAATATGCAGGCTGGTGTGAAGACTTCTAGATGATCTTTGAGCTTTCTCCTGTTGTTTCTGTTATGACTAATACGTAATTGGGACTTATTTTCATTGCTATAAAAGCATTTCCCTGGGATTTTTGAGTTATGTAATCTGCCTTAGGAATAGACAATGGGATTCTTTTTTTTTTTTTTTTAAGATTTTATTTATTTATTTGACAGATAGAGATCACAAGTAGGCAGAGAGGCAGGCAGAGAGAGAGAGAGAGAGGAGGAAGCAGGCTTCCTGCTAAGCAGAGAGCCGGATGTGGGGCTCGATTCCAGGACCCTGGGATCATGACCTGAGCTGAAGGCAGAGGCTTTAACCCACTGAGCCACCCAGGCCCCTCAGGTAATACTTCTTATCTCATGGTCTACTTTGTCTAATATTAACATAGGTAAGCCACATTTCTTTCAGTTGGTGTTT